TATCAGTCCTCAAACAAAGCCCAAGTTTAAGATGTCATTTTGGACAGGAACACCAGGTTGTCCAACTGTTTGGGGCAGGTGACAAGCTTGTGGCAAAAAGAAAATTGTGGCACATATTTAAGACATGCGGTCTCCTTGCTCGATCTATGTGGGCTACGTTTCTCAATTTCATTACATATTCTTTTCAGTTTTAACCCTCAATTATTTATAACAGTTTATTGGATGTCATAATAAACATTCATCAAGGGCATCAATGTTCTGTTTTTTGGTGTCCTCTCTGCGCGGATGTGACATGTTTTCTCTGGGTTGATCTTTGACTTTGCTCAGTCATTACAAGTGAGGTGTTTGAAACCCATATTTCTCTCTCGCTATCTCTCTAAGGGTGAGATTACTTTTCTCTCTCCGAAGATCATTTAGCTTCATATGAGCTTATTTTTCTTTGATTTTTTGGTGATTTTGTGTATTATGACGGTCTAAGACGTTGTGTATGAGATTTTTGAGTTTTTAGTTGTTGTGCCACCTTAACTATTCTTTGGTTGCTTTGTTAAGCATTTGATGTTGTAAAAAATGCTCAGTTGTAAAACTCAGATTCAAATTTGATCGTATCTTGGGTATTTTTTCTTTCTAAAGTTCTGTGATCATTGTATGATCTTCTTATAAATTGAAGAAGCATTTGTTTTAAGGAGAATTGTGTAGTATGTGTTGTTGTCACCTTTGATTTCATATGTGTAGGATGTTTAGTTGAACGTTATGAGACTATGTTTAGTTTCTTGTAGTCTAGAATACCAATTTGGACATCCAGTACGTGTCTCGAGCACGGGATTATGACCGATACCGATTCAACCCAACCCAAGAAAACTCACTGATGAGTGGAGATAGTTACAGTTCGGGATATGCCTAATGTTTATTTTTAATATTAAAAACCATATTTCGTCCCCCGTTAATGGATCATCCGCTGCCTATTTGGTATACAGTGATTTACCCTTTGCTTTTATGGCACAGTTAGGCCTTAGAAGCATAGTGTGGACCCTATGGGTCGACTTGGTTATTTTGTAGGCCCCCTTCGTCAATGAGTTGCTATCCATTTGGGATGTGGGTGACTCACTCTTTGCTTTGTGGCTTAGCAAAAGCTTTGAAAGAATCGGGATACTTCTACAAGATAACCATCTTTTTTGGGGACCTATTTACCTGCATGATAATGTAAGTAAGACTTCTTTTATCGAGTGTATTATTGAGTATCCCCCAATATGTAATTAACCAAAGGGATACATTCTTTTAAGAGTGCTCATGACCCATAACAAAAATGTTTTTTTTAGTTCTTTGGTTATGGGTGGCGTATAGTGGATTTTCTTCATGGATATCGTATCTCAAAGTATTTCAATCCGTTCTATTTTGGGAGTATACTCTCAGCTTATCACACGAGGATTACATGTACATAAACCCTCCATATTTCTTTTTAAAATTTGTTCGTTTATTTTAAAAAACAAAAAAGAGTGTCTGAAAAATTTCTAAGTATTTGGTCATGCAGTGATCGTATTTGTGTAGCTTCGTGATCATGGTATGGATCATGCATCCTGTATTTTCTTATTCCTCTCATCTTCAGATTATTTATGTGATCTGAGAGGGAGATTTACTTGAAAAGAAGAATAATGTGACGATATATATATATAGACAAGTTAGTAGCTTCAAGTTCTTCAAAAAACAAAAAACAGTGTCTGAAAATTTCTAGTTATTTGGTCATGCAGTGATCATATTTGTGTAGCTTCGTGATCATGGTATGGATCATGACTCTCTTTTTGTTGTCGTTCCACTTTTTCGTTTTCCATTAGCTCACTTCTCGGTCTTCTGTGCTGAATCATAACTATTATTTACGTGTTAGATATGTGGATATATCAAAATTGCGCATGGGAAAACAAAATATATTGTTTATAAGCTCTCACTAAATTGTGGTATTTAGGTGTTAGATATGTATATACATCCAAATTGTGTGTTATAAGCAACTATTTCTTGAGTAGCTTTCGAAATTGTCTTATATTATTGAGCATTAGTTTGTTATTTTTGTGGGAGATATCTCAAGACATTAGAGTCATGTCATATGTTTAAGAATTTAAATATTGGGGCTCTCAATATTTGCTTACAATATCAATCACTAATGTGTTCTTTAGGTGTTAGATATGTAAATACATCATAATTGTGTGGTATGCCCAAAATTTTTCATTTAAACTCTTCAAATTTTCTCACAATACTATGTAATACTATGTAATACTATGAAATTTAGATGTTAAATATGTAAATACATCATAATTGTGTGGTATGCCTGAAATTTATCATTTAAACTCATCATATTTTCTTATAGTATTATGCGATATATGATATTTAGGTGTTTGATATGTAAATAAATCATAATTGTGTGTCTGCCCGAAATTTTATATTTAAACTCTCCATGTTTTCTTAGAATATTATGCTGTGCTAGATATGAAAATACACAATAATTGTGTGGCATGGCTAAAAATTTATGGTTCTACTTTTAAGATCTTCTTATAATATCAAGTAGAAATTTGTTATTTAGGTGTTAGATAGGTAAATGCATTTGATATGAAATCAACAAATTTTGTCATTTGGCTAGGTCCTCGACGCTATTAACACAAATCATTGAGCATTTTTGGCAAAAAACATTCAAATTAAAATTAATCATGATCCAGAACTTCAATTTCAGGAAACCTAGAATCAAACTGACTGACTCAATGAGACAGACCCAATGACTCTAAAATTGGACTCAGCTGAGTCAAATCAAGTACAAATCAAGCCGTCAAATCACTTTTTAAAGCCTTGGGTGGCTAATAAGAAGGTGAAATAAATTTCAAATCTGACCAACTTATAGTCAAATCAAGCATCTTGGTGAGACAAATCCAACTAGTCCAATATCACTCAATTCTAACATAATGAAAACACTTGAATGTACAAAAAATACCATCTGATTGCGGCAATCTCATTGAGTCGTCCGATAGAGTAGTCTCAATTTCTCTTTTATCTGAAAGGGAGGTACTACCTTATAAATAGAGCTTCACCCCCTTTATGAAAGAAGTCCTAGACCTTAAACCGGAGAAAGAGTTAGACATAAAGGTTGTTCACAAAGAATGAGTTAAATTTTAGTATCGATTCAGACTGAAAAAACTGAACTCATACAACTCCCACAATCGCTAAGCACTATCAGTCGTCCCTAACTCGTTACAACGAAGCCTCTGATAGAGTTGTGATGTACGTTGCAAAGTAACGAAACACTGTGCAAAGTAAAGACCAGCTTCGTGGAGTAACAAAGCAACATAGGGAGCAGTGCATTATCCTGAACACCATGTAAGAACATACCACGAAGATGATGCATTAAAGTTCCAACAACTACTCCCAACTGCAACCACTCCTGATCATTGTATAATAAATCCTTTTATTTACTACCATTATACTTTAAAGAATTGTGTAACCATTTCTTGCCTATGAGACAAGAGCCTAATTGGGCTAGGTCCCATGATTTTTTCCTTTATCAGATTTTATACATAAAAGATTTTTGTGGCTCTGCCGACACTTCAATTATATGTGTGTTTGTTGGAATTTTGTGCAACACTAAGACGATAGATAATCACTCTACAGTCGTGAATCTTCCAGCATATCGGTTTGGCTTCGTTTGAGGGAAAGGTAATCCCACCACCGAAGAACTTGTAAACATGCTGAATGACCACCAGACACAATATTCACAACAACGAGACATCGCACTTCAAAAACCACCATTTCAAGGGGCAGTCATGGAGCCAATGACATAAAGCCTTCACCTCCTCCCCCCTTGAAGGACATTATTCTATCGACGAAGGTGCCTTCTTTTTAGTTCTTTTTAAGAGCTTGGAGTCGCCAACTTGACTATATATATGTCATTGTCATACCATTCCCCTTTCCAGATAAATTTGGGTTAACGAAGCCTCTAACACCCCGAGCATGCTAGACAAACACCTAAGTAGAAATTTATGCTGGGTCAGTTGGGTTAAAGAAATATAAGTACTGCTTTTCTGTACATACAATATGATGTAATTGTCTAAATTCTTAAGCGTTGATGCCCTATTAAATATGACTTAGGATATATCCATGTTATACAAACTATTTTGAAAAATTGCTCGAGGGCCATGCATAAAAAATAGAGTGCATGTTTAAAATATTGAAATATTTTAATCCAAAATTTTAAGTAATCATAATCTTTAATCAGGATTTTCTAGAAAAATTATATTTTAGGGTCCTCAATGAGCTTAAAATATATCACAGGATTCCAATACAAGACACAATCGAAGAAAATGAAAATAGCAGTACACTGCACAATGTTAAAAAACAAACAAAATATGAAATAATAGAAATTCAGGGTATCACTGGGCATGTAACATATCCAAGAAAAATAATAGATTGCAGTCAGACTCCACACATACATACTCGAACCTACATTTATTCATTAATATCAATATGTAGAATTATGATACGGGACACGAGCATCTGCTCATGGTCGTCGTCACGTGGTTCCACTTCTCAAATGCCTCGAAATTCGTGACGTAACCTATTTCTGCTACAGACTCCCCTAAAGACTCTAAAAAGGTACATATAAAAGTTTAACAAAAGACTCAAACTATAATAAAGATGTTAGCACGAGTCATTTACATGCAATGTGATAAAAGATGTCTTTCTTATGTTATTTAATTATTTTGAGCTAAAATGAGTCAAACATGAATGAATGAATCTTTATTTTTATTCAATTCATTTATAAGTCGAGCTTTAAAAAATTACCCATGTTCGATGTTTTTTTTTAAAGAATAAATCAATCACATACTATTTAACAAAATTGGATAATAGCTATTCACAAACAATTAATTTATTTGAAAACCCGACACTATTAACAAAAAAAAAAAAATAATAATAAAAAAAATCTAAAAAAGGCAAAAAATTTCGTCAAAGGACGTCTCGCATTAATCCCAGGACAAAAACTATGAGCCCCCTCTCCTCCTCCAAATGGTCTCCCTTCTAAAACCCTCTTTTTGCTCCCCAAACAGCTCCCATGGCCTCCTCCCTCGTCCGAGCCCGCAATTCCATTTCAAAGCTAAGACCTTTAAAAATAAAAAATTTTAGGTGAGGCTAACCAAAATACATCAGGAATGTGATTTACGGTCCGGACGCAACCGCATGGAATAATTTTTCGCTCTCCTCCCTCCAAACGGTCTCCCTTCTAAAACCCTCTTTTTGCTCCCGAAACAGCTCCCATGGCCTCCTCCCTCGTCCGAGCCCCTCCAAATGGTCTCCCTTCTAAAACCCTCTTTTTGCTCCCCAAACAGCTCCCATGGCCTCCTCCCTCGTCCGAGCCCGCAATTCCATTTCAAAGCTAAGACCTTTTTTTCTTCCCACTCATCTCCTCCCTCAGCCCCCACCTCCCCCGCTGGCGCCCCCCTTAGAGCTTGCCTTCTGCCCCCTATATTACCATTTTCTCAGTTCCCAATTTAGACTAACTTCAGTGTTCGGCTACCCGTCCCTCTATCTCCACTCCATCTCTTCCTCCTTCTCATCTCTATCGGAAGCCAAGGCTGATCAGAATCAGAACCCGAAACCCAAGGCTTCTCTCCATACCCTAAATCCATCTGACGTCTACCGCATGCTCCGCACCGAGGGCTCCTCCGAGAAGCTCACCCGCGTTCAATGGGACTCCCTTGTCAAAATCATTCGCTCCTTTGCCAAATCCCCCTGGGTATCCGACCAGGCCCTCGCGGCATACATTCCCTCCTCCTTCTTCCCCTCCGCCGCCCGCCGCTTTCGCTACTTCTTCCTCGACCGCTGCCCTCCTCACGTCTTCCTACAACTTTCGTCACTCGGCCCCTCTCCCGAAGCAGACTGCTTTCTCCTCCCCATCTTCATCGACTACTGTCTTGATGAATTTCCCGATGAACTCCGCAACTATAAATCCCTTATGGACTCCGCCGACATGACCGAACCTCACACTTGGTTTCCCTTCGCTCGAGCCATGAAGCGCAAGATCGTTTACCACTGTGGCCCAACCAACAGCGGCAAGACTTATAACGCTCTCCAGAGTTTCATGGAGGCTAAGAAGGGAGTCTACTGCAGTCCTCTCCGTCTTCTTGCCGTAGAAGTCTTTGACAAGGTGAATGCTTTAGGAGTTTATTGTAGCTTACATACAGGTCAGGAGAAGAAAAACGTTCCCTTTTCTAATCACGTTGCTTGTACAATAGAAATGGTCTCTACTGATGAACTCTATGACGTTGCTGTGATTGATGAGATTCAAATGATGGCAGACAATACGAGAGGGTATGCCTGGACTAGGGCGCTTCTCGGTTTGAAAGCTGATGAGATTCACTTGTGTGGGGATCCCAGCGTTTTGAGCATTGTCAGGAAGATATGTAAGGAAACTGGGGATGAACTCAATATGCAGCATTATGCCAGGTTCAAGCCACTGGTTGTTGAGGCAAAAACCCTTTTGGGGGACTTAAAGAACGTCCAATCTGGAGATTGCGTCGTGGCATTCTCAAGGAGAGAGATTTTTGAGGTGAAGTTAGCGATAGAGAAGATGACAAAGCACAAGTGCTGTGTTATTTATGGTGCATTGCCGCCAGAGACAAGGCGGCAGCAGGCGAACTTGTTTAATGATCAGGATAAAGAGCACGATGTTTTGGTAGCTAGTGACGCAGTTGGAATGGGGTTGAATCTCAATATTAGAAGAGTTGTTTTCTTTTCTTTGTCAAAGTATAATGGTGATAAGATGGTGCCAGTTCCTGCCTCACAGGTTAAGCAAATAGCTGGGCGAGCAGGCAGGAGAGGGAGTAGTTATCCAGATGGGTTGGTGACCACTTTCATCTTAGATGATTTGGACTATTTGATTGAGTGTTTGAAGCAGCCATTTACAGAGGTAGCCAAAGTTGGTCTCTTTCCTTTCTTTGAGCAGATGGAGTTGTTTGCTGCACAATTTGCTAATATCACTTTCTGCAAATTACTGGACAAGTTTAGAGATACATGCCGCCTTGATGGATCCTACTTCCTATGCAAGCATGAGAATGTGAAGAAAGTTGCCAACATGCTGGAGAAGGTGGAGGATTTATCTCTTGAGGAACGCTATAATTTCTGTTTTGCTCCTGTGAATATTAGAGATCCCAAGGCTATGTACCATTTGTTACGGTTTGCGCAGCACTACAGTGAAAACCGCCCTGTTGGCATAGCAATGGGGCTACCGAAGTGTTCTGCCAGGAATGATGCAGAGCTTTTGGATCTTGAAACAAAGCACCAAGTTTTATCTATGTATTTGTGGCTTTCACATCATTTCAAGGAGGAAACTTTTCCATATGTGCAGAAGGCTGAGGAAATGGCTGTTAGCATTGCTGATTTACTTGGTAAGTCGCTTGCTAATGCTTGCTGGAAGCCTGAATCAAGATCACAAGGGAAAACTAAAAAAATGAAGGAAGAAGATGGGCAGGAGGAGTCGCAGGTGATTAGTAGAGATGTTTATGAGAGGCCTAGATCGCTTGTTAAAGCATTCGCTAAGTGAGTCCTTTTAGCACTTCTAAAGCTTACTAACTGCTAAATGTGAACTCTTTCTTTATTAATTGTTAAAAGTTTTTAAGTTCGGGCTAATTTTTAATGACATTTATGAATTTTAACATACGGTACTATGGAGATAGTTTTTTAGGACAGCTTATTTTGTTGATTTTGCCAACCGATAATCAGCATTTGAAAGTTCTAGTTGCATGCTTATATGAAGGACAACTATTTGGGGCTTTATGTATTAACTTGTAGTCATTTATTTCTATCACTCCATCCATATTAATTTATTATGCAGTGAAAGCTTTGCTCCCCAAGAATTGATTTCCAATGAAACCGTTTGGCCAAGTGTGACAATTTTTGCGTGAAGAGAAAATATGTCAATTTACTCTCTCTTACTTTGCAAATGGAAGGAAGTTCTTTTCATGAGTTTGAGAGATTAGCCTTACTATTTTCTTATAAATTGAAATAAATATAAGTAATTCTGAAGACACCTATAGAAATTGCATGTGAAGTTGAGAAGACGTTGAATATGGTGTTTCATGAAGATGATTGATACCGACAAGGGATATGAGACTAGAAATTTCAGCAAAACAACAATCAAGAATTGCTGAGAAGTATTCTGGAGGCAAAGAACAACAAAAGGAATATTATTGATGTAAGGAAAGAACAAGAATACACATGGCAATGCACCATTCGGGCTGCCAACTCCAGGATACAGCTTCAAGGAAGTTGAACGGGTAGCCCAACCCTCTTAAAAGAAAGAAACCCACAAAATTAAGACTAAAATCTGCCTCTATACACAAAACAACATCTATTTATGGACACTAAGGCCCCATTTTTTACAAGTTTGCCATCCAACTAGAAAAACACATAAAAATAAAAATAAAACATAAAAACTGAATTTTAACATAATACGGATAACACTAATACTGATGCACCCGCATCATTCTCCCGGGGTTGGGGAAGGTTCAACTTGGGTCTCCAATTCTGACTCGGGGACATTGAAAATGATAGAGATGTTCTAATCTCTATGTAGGTCAAGATACAGTGATTAGGCGATGATTCATCACTATTGAATTTAACTTTTGCTTGCTTACCATTTGATCTTGGTGCAACATCAAGCCCTTGGGCTTCACCTCCTTGATAAGCAACAATATCCTTCATAAGTGTTGCAGATGGTTGGTTAAAGTTACTAGAAGATATATGACCCACAATTGATATTCTTCGATCAAGGTTCGCGATTCCATCTGTACAAGAACTACTGCTGATATCACCACAATCAATAGATGGAAAATACATTGACTTGAGAGTCAGCAATTCCCGGTGGCTCACCAAAACTTAGAACATTATTTTCAGAGAAGTCACCAAAGTCTCCAAACTCTGTGAGAAGTGATTGGATGTCTATACCAAGTCTCTTATCCTCATCATTCCAATTCCAACTAGAACTGACTTGTACATTTGCATATCACCAAGATTTGAATTGTTTACATCAACAAAACTAAATTTGGATTTTGCTTTATTTGTGTAGTTGCACTTGCAACTGTAGTTGCGCTTGACCAAAACATCAGTCACATGAGCGAATATTCTTAGAAATCATCTTCTTGTAATTTTTATCAATCTGATCATTCGAAGATAATTTGGACTGCCTAAAGGTTAAAGAATCATATATTTTACTAGTGACAGAAGGAACCCTTCTAATTTGAATGTTGCTCGCAATGAACTCCGCCAAATGGTGCTGCCAAACATCATCATATGAAATTTTCACTCTAGGAATTCCAACACATTTCTCCTCATCGTACACAGTCTAATCATATACATGTATCACAATGATTCTGATACCGGACCTTCAATCAAAACTTGAGGATTCTCGTTGAAATGCTTAAGGTATTTGTTTTCTTGTTCCACCTAATGTTCTTCCAATTTTCTTTTTTCAAGAATAACTATTCTTTCTTGAAAAAACCGGATCTCCCATTATAAACCTTTGATAATGAGTTCCTGATTAGGTCTTGTAATAATTCTTCGTGGCGGAATGTTGTCTTGTTGGAAAGTTGTAGAGGATAGGAAGGAGAAGATGAAGGAGCAGCCGAAAGCAAGAAATGTAGAAAACCCAACAGTGAAGAATAAGAAGACAGTAAGTTGGCTTTTTTCTTAAACCATAAATCAACAAGGAAGAAACAAGTATTAATAGAGATAGGAATTCAACAACAAAATATGAAACCAAATATTAGCCTACACAAAAATTCTATAGATTTCTGTATTCACGGTAAATCGGATGCTGCAAAACAGAAACACAGACACAATAGACGAATCTTGCAATTCCACTAAACTCGATGTTGATCACCACCTGGACCAGTGTTTAGCAGCCTATCGAGAAGGCTAGAGGATCTTGGCAAGAATTGGGATAAAAAAGCCAAAACTTTATTACCAAAATGAAACTGACAAGGAATATGAGAATAGAATTAACAAAACAACAATCAATAATTGTTGAGAAGAATTCTGGATGCTAAGAACAACAAATAGAATATTATTGATGTAAAAGAAGCACAAGAATGCACACGATAAGACACCATCTGGGCTGCCAACTCCAGGATACAGTTGCAAGGAGATGAACGGGTAGCCCAACCTTCCCAAAAGAGAGAAACTGACAATTTAAAACTAAAATCTGCCCCTATATGAAAAACAACTCCTATTTATATGTACTAAGACAACACTGGTTACAAGTTTGTCATTCAACTATAAAAACACAAAAACAGAACTAAAACATAAATTGAATTGTAACATAATATGGGCAACACTAATACTGACGTTATCACATCAATGATGCTTCATGAAGTTGATAAGATGTTTTATGCGGATTAGTTTGAATATGCTAAGATTATGGGAATTATTCTTGCTTCTTCGTTTAGCCTAGAATTTCTATGTGATATGTTTTTTTATTGATCTAAAGTTAGTTTAGATGTAGAAAGGTTTTCTGATTTTCTTTTATGTTTCCTTTCAGACATTTCAACTTGGCTTATAAATTACAACCTCTTTAGGTCCTTTAGGTATGCAAAATAGAATTCTGCCTCGAAGTTCAGTCCTTTTGTAGTGATCGGTAGGAGAAATCAAATAGTATGAAGTGTTTGATATATATATTTGTAATGCTATGGTTTCTAATTGCTTGTATGAATTTTCTATATTTTGGCTACCTTGGTGCCTCGCAAAATCCACCATCCACCATCCATCAATCTACTTATTAGTTGTGCTTTTTGGCTTCCATTAGTGCTGATCAAACCGAGAAAAATTGATAATCAAAGAAAAGAAGAGAAAACAGGACGAGTGAACACATGATATAACCTGGTGGTTGCCACCTTTATAAAAATTTCACTGCATAAATAGAATAACATTGCACATTTATATTGTTATTTATATTCTATAAATTTTAGAGTCTATCACAATGATCAGTCTTATCTACATTGTTTGTGATTGGCCTTAGGAATTTTTATAACTAATATCCATTCATGTCTATTGAGTGCTGCATGGAAACACCGTTCAGTGTTAAATTTTTTTTGCCTTGCTTTTATCCGTAAGTTCATTCTCCATTCGTTCCCTATGATACTAGATAGAATCTCATGAGTTGGTGGTGTGTTATCCTGGCTTCTACTGACAAAATATCATATATACTCTCTTTGTTCTAACTATATATGGCGTGCTTTCTACTTCTTTTCATGACGAATACTTTGAAAATATACTGCCCAAAACTCAACAATTATATATTAGGAAAGAGCAGACTTTGTTTAGAAATTGGGTTCTTGATCATCCAGTTGTTGGCTACTCAATTAATTTTGTTTGCTGCTTGAGTTTGTCTATTCTCTTGTCATCAATGTCTGTTGTTCCTGTGCTATTGGCCTATCCCATTTCTCCAGCTTTGGATATATGTGTACTCTATCGATCACCTTACTATTTGTGAAGTTTCATTTAGAGATTTGCTTGAAGGTCAAGCTCCATTAACCATACATCTTAAGACCTATTATTTGCTATGCCTCTAAACGCTGGCTTTGCCGGCTGCTGAACGTACGCCAGTCCAGGAGGCATCGGTCTGGAGCGGCTAGACCCAGCCGACCCAGCTTAGGGGGGGCAGAAACCCTAGGAGCTGCCATGGATGATTCCAGCATTCGAGTGGGGCCCGTGCAGCCCTTAATGACATACACGAGAAGGGGGAATTGAGGGGATTTTTTGGGGAAAAGTTCGAGGTGACCTTGGGGGTATTTATTAGGGCTAAGTGGCTAGGGTTTGCTTCGTGTTTTGTTTTTCTGCAGTTTTCTCTTTTATTTGTTTGCTCCTAGCGGCTTCTAGGATTTGAGGAGAGCCGATCCACCTCTCAAATTGTAGATCATCCTTGTATCTTGTTTTTTTTTTGCTTAGATATTAGTAAAATTAGCCCTAATATGGGTTTTCCCGCTGATTTCTTGCAATTTGTTTGCTGTTTTTGGCTCCAGGGCTATTAAATTTATATCGGAGTAAGTTCTTAGAAAGTTGACAACTAAGAAAGTGAATTCGTTGGAAGAGAGGTTGGAATGGGAAGTAGGGCAAATCAAATCTTGGATGGAGGAAAGGTTCTCCACTATAGAAGGAAGGTTTTTCTCCATAGATGATAGGTTTTCTTATATGAAAAACCGATTCAGGAGCTTGGAGGAGATGATAAGGAGGCTTATTGAAGTGCAACCGAAGACTCACCGACGGCTTGATTTGCAAACTCTAGCAAAGGGTCGACTGAAGGATTTTCGGCTAAATCAAAAGATAAAGAGATCTAACTAGAGGAACTTGAGGAGGAATGCATCCACCATCAAGTTCTCTCAAGGATTCTGATGTGTGGTGGACTAATGATCTCAGATGGAGTTGGTTGGTTAAAATGGGGCGGAGGGGCTATGCAAGGGGCCCGGAGAAGCACGAAGAAGGGAGAAGAGAAACCGGAATTGGGTATGACTATGATCGAATGAGGGTATATATGGGGGAACGCC